GAAGAATTTAAATGTCTCTACATAGAAGAAAGCCCAGAAGGATATATTCTAACACATGGATCGTGTTTGTGTCTGGATCACTCCATATTCTTCATGTCCTTCTTTTTGGTTATCTTTCAAAATAATTGCACATGAAAGCTAAATTCCTGTGAAATTGGGGGGTCACTGCTCCTGTGAGTAAAGGAAGGCAGGAAGGGTTTACTGGACTGAGTAGAGAGGGGCAGGGAGCGGGGGAGAGAAAGCCCGGATCCAGTTCAAGACCTGAGCTCTGGTTCTGTTCTCCCGCCTGTGTGCCGTGTGTTCTCAGACAAGTCATTCTCCTCTCTGAGCCATCATTTTGTCACTTGTGACATGAAGGAGGGGTGGGTAGCATCGTATTCTAGGATGCCCCTTCCTCCCCGTCAAGTCACCTCCTGAGGCAGGGTTCTGTGAGTTTTATCCACGGTGGCGTCCCCAGCTCCAGCCCAGGGCCTGTCCCTTATAGCTGAGCTCAGGAAGTATTTGTGGAACCGAGCTGGGGTATGGGAAGGAAATCCGAACAGAACTGAATGGTGCAGCGGTGCTGGCATTCGAAGCCGCCCTCCCAGCTGTCCTTGGCCCACTCCTTTCTCCTCCTTACTGTCTTTCTCCTGCCGGTTCCCACGTGGAGTTTCTGTCTCTCCCATTCTCTAGCCGGTTCCTTCCTTTTCTTCTCACTCCTTTGTCTCACTCCCTTTTTCTTCTGCCTTCTCCCTCCCCGATGTCCCCTTCACCTCTTCTCAGTGGTGCCCGTGAGCTGCCAGCCGAAGGGCTTCATTCTGATCACGTGGGAAGCAGGTGGATCGACTGGCGAGAGTGGTGTCCGGCAGTGGGTCAGTGGGCCTGACGCCCCCAGCAGAATGCTGGTGCCCAGGCCCCTCTGGCTTCAGCTGCTTTGGGCTGAGGTCCTGCTTTGCGACTGTTAAAAGCTTCTGGGTGATTCTAAGGTGCGACCAGAGTTGAGATTCCTGGTCTGTGGATGACAGACGTGACACAGATGACGGGAAGGTCCCAAATTCAGAGCATTAGGGGAGATCCTTGAGGGAAGGGGTGGGGTTCATTTGGGGGAGGACCAGGGAAGGCCTTGTTGAGGATTTGACCTTCAAGGTGAGCTCAGAGGGAAGCAGGTTAGCTGGGCAGAGGGGCGGAAAGAGAGGCAGGCAGCGGGCACTAGGAGCGCATGGCTATGATGCAGGGGGCACAGGGTCCCTTTAAGGAGCAGAATGAGGATGGGGCAGTGGGAAGCATTGAAGGTTGGAAACATGAGAACCCCCTGATCCTGTTTCTATTTCAGTGGGATTGCTCTGATGCTAAGTGGGGTGTGGAAGGGAGGGGCAGAGAGCAGGGCGCAGGCAACCCACCTCCTTCCGAGGAAGATGTGCCAGCCTGGCAGGAGGAACAGCATATGCGGAGGTGCAGAAGCAGGCCAGAACCATGGTTGGGGGGGCAGGGAGGCCACCATGAGCAGAAACCCAAGTGAGGAGCATCCCTTAGAAGGCCTCCAGTGCCCACGGCAGCACTGAACTCCTCCCACACTAGGGGGAGCTAGGGGAGGCCGTGTAGGTGGGAGAGTGCATGCTGTGGGGGGGCCTCCCTGGCACTGTGAGCAGGACTGGGGGGGCAGGAGAGGTCTAGCTGGAATCGATGCAGGGCTCTGCCGAGAGCAGGTGAGGACCTGGGGGACAGGTGAGAAGGGGACGGGTGTTACATATACATTTCTGTTTATCCCTTACCTAGAATAGCACCTAACACACAGTTGGAGCCTAATAAGTGCTTGCTGAATAAGAGCAGGTCTTCTGCCGGTTCTGCCGATCCATCTAACTACCAAACATTTATTAAGCACCTACTGTAAGGCGAGGGTGCAGACCAGGTGAAGCCACGTTGAAGGCCTGAAGGACTCATGGTCTAGTGGGGGGAGCAATGGAGGAAGCGAACAGCACCCACTAGAATCTGGCTAGAAGTAGCAGGGGGCTGTGGGAAGCTAGAGGAGTCCTCGTGGATGGTGGGTCAGAGCCGAACCATCTTTAACTCTCCACAGGGAGAGACCCGACTCAGGGAAGTTCCTCTCTGCACACCTGGCTCACCTTTTGGGAGAGGCCAAGGGGAGGGGGTGCCACTTGGAGATACCGGGTGCGGCACTGGGGACTTGTTGACAGTGGAGGGACAGGTCCACCTGGAGAACATCCTGGAGTCCCTAGGGCTGGGATGGGCCTGGGGAGAAGCCTTCTGCTGTGAGGACACTCATGGCTCTCCTCCTGTGTCTTCCTCAAGGACACTCTCAGCTGGATTCGGGATGAACCCCCATCCCTGCCCAGGGAGGAAACACAGGATGCCGGTAGAAGACAAGGGCCGCAAGCCACCGTCTGCTCTGCCGGTGGCCCTGGACTGGGAGGTTCCACAGGTGTGTGTGGGGGGCGCCTGCACAGACATCTGCTGACGGGCTGACCTTCATCTAGGACCTGCCAATGTGTGTGTGGTGGGGGTGACTGCCCCACTCTACAGACAGGGAGCTGAGGCCCAGAGAGGTAGTGTTGCTTGCTTGATGTCACACAGCTGGAGAAGGGGGGATTAGAGTCGGCCATGTCCATGACAAGGTCCCTGACTTGGACTCAACTAGACATTCAGGCTCACTCCTTCAGCCTCAGGAGGTGCTGGCCAGTGTGGGACAGCTGGTGTCTCAGGAGGAGGGGTCTTTGCAGAAGGCTATGGGATGACTATCCTATCCCTGCCCCACCCCTTGCCAACTCAGGGGTGAGACAGGTGCGAGGTCTGGGAGCTACTGGGGCTGAGGAGCCCCTTGTCCCTAACTTGTCCTTAATGGGAACCAATGCCTCTGATCACGGTCTCGGGCGTGGCTTCTGGATTCCCTGTTGCAAAAGCCAGGTACTGAGGGAGCCCCAAAACCACGATGTCCCACTGGGGGAGTCTGTGGTTTGCTTACAGTCTTCCAAGGCCAAACGTGGCTAGAGATGAGGGGGAATTTATAGCCCCCAGTGCTGCTGACCCATACAGCTGCCGTTCCCCCTCTAGCCTATTTCCAGGGAGCAGAACTGGCAAGTCAAATGGTCAAACTTGTCCTGGGAGGAGAAGGAGGCAGGGCCTGTCTGGCGGCGAAGCCGGGGACGAGCTCCTTCATCTGCATGCCAGGCGTGTGGCCAGGGCTGGAGGCAGGGGATTACGACCCTGTGGGACCATGAGGGTGCCCGGGTTGAGGGAGGTGTCGTGGGATCTGTCACCTGTGTGAACGTCCTAGTCAGCAAAGGCGGCTTCCACACCCAGTCCATGACACATCACCAGACGGTCGTTCCCCAACTCTGATGCTGGTGCTGGTGATCATCAGGCCACCTCTGGGGCTCAGGGGCCTGGAGTCAGTGGCAAGTGGCAGGTCATGTCTAGAGCAGGAGGTTCAGTCACTAGTGGCAGTTGTGAAAAAACTCCTAAGAGGGTCTCCTTAACTCCCGGGATCCTCTTGCCTTCTAGGCCCGCCCTCTGAAGGCCTCTGCTCCTGGGGTTGCCTCAGGGTTGGACCAGGCCCCTCTGTTTTGGAGACCACGGATGAGACCCTGGAAGACGTCACAGGATCTGACTGTGGACTGGTGAGGCCAGAGGCTTCCTGCGTGCCTGGGGTACCAACTGCGTGTGGGAGGTGGGAGAAGGGGCTAAAGAAGGGTTTGGAAGAACGTTCTGGAAATAACTGAGAGGGAGGTTTGAAGACTCGGAATGGATACATACGTTGAAGAAGTGTATATAAAAATATAGTTTAAAATATCTGTGAAATGCATCTTGTGGGCCTGGCACCGGTCTAGGCCCAGGGACCTGGCCCTTGGAGCAGGTGGTCTACACAGCCATCCACGAAAGCCTTCCATGACAATGGAAATGCATTATGCCTGTGTGGTCCAGTAGGAGAGCCATGAACCCCCAGCTTCCCAGCTCTTAAACCATGGCTGGTGGCCTGTGGCTACCATGTTGGACATATAGCGATTAAGGGGGTAGACAGTGTGTGCGTCGATAAATAGCAAGCTGTGAGAGGGTGGGGGCACAGTAAAGGGGAACGCACACAGTGTGGTAAAATGGCCAGGCGGCTGCTAGAGAAAGTAACATGTGAGCAGAGATGTGAATGGATCGAGAGCGAGCCACGAAGGGATCCAGGAAACGATATTCTGGGCAGAGGGAAGAGCAGGTGCAAAGGCCCTGGGGCACGGGTATCGGGCTCGGCAAGTAAGGGAGGCTGATATGGCTGGGTGAAGGGGCACCAAAAACATCAGGAGATGAGGTCAGAGAAGTGGGTGGGGGGCTAAATGGAGGAAGAGGCTGCTTCATACCTTCTCTTCTCTTCCCATTCCTAGCCAACTCCAGCTGAGCCCAGCTTGGATGAACAGACTCTCCTTCTCATCTGTGGCTGCCCCCCCGGGCAGTGCAGGGACGGCTCACTCCTCCCTGTGGAGCTGGCCTGGATTTCAGAGCGAAGACTAGCAGCCACCCAGGCCCAGGGGTCCTTTCTCCTGGTGCAGACGCCCCCACTCCCTCCCTGGGGGCCAGCCAGGGACCCCTCTTCCCTGCTGCCGCCACTGCTGCTCCAGGAGGCTTCTCCACAAGACTCCCAAATGCAACAGGTGCTGGATGCTTGGTCATTGCCTGCTCCCGGGGCCATTGGACAGCCATATTGGAATCATCACCGGGCAAAGAGCCCTGAAGCCTCCCTTTGCCAGGAGTCCCCACAGACTTCAAGTCACTGGTTTCCCAGGAAAGGGCCCAGAGATCTGAAAGACACTTGGAAGGAGGGAGGAGGACCAGAGTGGAGAACAGAGGAGGAGGGGGCGAGGAGGGCTTGGGACAGGAGGGGGAGGGAGGGAGGGCCTTTATCAGATGTGGAGGAAGAGCACCCCACAGCCAGGGTCCGGGGTGCCCAGAAGCCATCTCCAGCAGGTACTCAGGTCCTTGCAGGGCAGGGCAAGGAGGAAACTCTTGTGCCGTCTGGAAAGGCTCTGTGTCTGCGAGAGGAAAGCCCTGGATACGAAGGGCAAGAAGAGAAGGAGGAGGAGGCAGCGCCTCTAGAAGTGTCCAGTCTGGGCTACAAGGACATCCCAGAGGAACCTGGCCCCATGGAATGTGCAGGCCAGGGTACCCTCTTCTCAGTGGCAGAGGAAGGACTGTCTCCCAGATTGGGAGACCCAGTCTTTCCACCCAAGGGGACCGAACACACCAGTAACTCATGGGCTCTAAGCGAAGGACCTGGCAGTTCTGAGCTCAGACTAGACAAATTTGAAAAGGAGATGGAGGCTTGTTTCCAGCAACTCTCCATCCTGGAGCTTGGAGGAGACGGGCGGTGGCCACAGGCCTCCATGCTGGTGGGAGAGAGCACAAACTCTGCTTGGAAATGGCCCAGCTGCCAGGGGAAGCCTTCCTCCCAGCGGGCTTTGGGAAACCAGGGCTTGGATGTTTGTTTGGCCAGGGAAGTCAAACCCGGGGAGGCTAGTGAAAAGGTTAGACCAGAGGAGACTGAGGCCTTGGGAACCAGCGCGGTTCTTCCTGAGATGGTGCCTGATTTGGATGATGTGAGGCTGGGCCCAGAATGGCCCTCTGAGCGAGGTTGGAACTGGCCTCCAAGAGCCCTTGAAAGGCAGAAGAGAAGGTTCCAGCAGCTCATTGCTGGACTGAAAAGAGAGAGAAGCCAGGTTTTACATGACAATGCTGAGCTTTGGGGTGACCGAGAGAGATTCCGTAGAAAAGTGAGTGTTCTGGAAAAAGAGATGGACAGAAATGGGACAAAGATCGCCACACTTGAACGGGAAAACAGCATGCTGTTAGGGGACATCTCGCACTTAAAGGGGGAACTGGACCAATGTTGGCAGGTCATTTCTGACCTTGAGGACTGCAATGGGAAAAGTTACTGCAAAATTTCTGAGCTTGAAGAGGAGAACGAGAAGCTGAAAAGGCACACGGCCCAGCTGCAGAAAGCCGTGTGGGAGAGCCTCAGAAAATCCAAAGGTGTGATGGAGCGCGTCACTCTGGGAAACCAGGAGCTCAAGGCACTGATCTCAGAGCTCGGGGTTGGTTACAAAGAGCTGATGAAGAGCATAGTGCTGGGAATAGAAGACACGGTCCGGGCTTTCAGCGGGGAGAATGCTCACCTTCTACACAGAATCCGTGTCCTGGAGACGGAAGTCGCCTTGGGGGAGAGCACAGCAGTGCGGCACGTAGTGAGAGCAGATGAGGGTCCGTGGGGGGAAAGTAAGATGTGGGGGGACAAGGGGACCGCTGTGGAAAAGGGGGTGCAGGTGACTCAGCTCTCAGGGCAACTGACCGCAGGAGCCCATGGGCCACCCATGGAGGAGAAATCGGGTGCAGCTGGCAGGTGTATGGGGCCTTCCTTAGGCATGGAGAATTCCAGATACAGTGCCAATTCTGCCGCTCCATCCTTGGTCTGGGGAAGTGCCGAGGTGTCCAGTGTCCCACAAGGACACATCCATGGAGCAGGAGTAAAAGAAGCACATTTGGAAGAGGAGAAGGAAAGACCATGGTGTTGTGCGAACCCAGCGCAAGCTCTGACGGCCCTGGACAATGGCCCCCAGGTAGACTGATTTCTCACAACTGCTTCCTTAGCATCTTGCTAGCTGTCTAGGGGGCTGACCACCCCCTGTCCTCAGGTGAGGTTCCCCAGGCAGCCCTTGGAGGAGGTACCCACCTCATCACCCCCACTTAGCAGATGGGAGAATGAGGGCACAGGGAAGTGAAGTAATGGGCAATCATGTGGCAGGAGGAGTAGGGCTGGGACTGCCATGTGGGTGGTCCCCTGCTGCACACAGTCTGAGACTGAGCCGGCCCCTCTGCTTAGGCTCTTCCCATGGGCATCAGGTGGGACACTGGAGGCGGTGGTGTTGACATTTCAAGATCAGAGCTCATGTTTTCAGATCCAAGAGTTTATCAAGCAGTCCAAGTCCTAATTCTGCACAGTGGGTCCCTCTCTCTCTCCCTTTTTAAAAGATTTAACTGACATACAACATTGTAGAAGCTTAAGTTGCACAGTGTGTTGACTTGATACATTCATGTATTTCAATATGATTACCGCCCTTGGTTGGCCAACGACCCCATCATGCTCCACGTTGGGTCTTGAAAGGGATGATGGAAAGAGCAGGGACTTTAGGACTTGATCGGAGGTTAAACCCAGCTCTGCACTTACCACATCTATGATTTGGCCAAGACACGGGCTTCCTTGAGTCATTATCCACATATGTGGAGGGTGCGCGCTGTTCAGGAATCCCAGGAGGAGATGCTCATGATAGCCTCACCGTGGTCTTGCCTGTCTATAAGACGTTCAGTATTGACCCCTTTGTAGCCACTCATTCATTCTCTCCCTCCCTCTCTCTCTCCCGCTCTTTTTCCACTTTCTTCCCATTCCCCTCCCCCCACCATGGCAATTTTATCAATCAGAAGGAATCAGAGGATTCCTTCGGGTTTTGTCAATTTTCTTCATCATATGTATTTTATTTCCCTGAATTCTGTTTTACCTTCATTCTTCCCTTTCTTTCACTTCCCTTTGATTTAGTTGGATGTTCCTTTTTCTCCCCCTTGCTTCTTGTGTTGAAAGCTCAGATCATTGATTTTCAGCTCTTCTTCTTTTGTGATCTATGCACTTCTATCTCTGCGTGTCTCTCTGAGCACTGTTTCAGCTACGTCCCACACATTTTGATATGTTGTGCTTTTATGTCCGTTCACTTCAAAGTACTTTGCAGTTTCCATTTGTGACGTCTCTCTTTACCCACGGATGATTTAGAATAGAGTTCCTGAATTTCCAAGCACCTGCTGAATTTTTTAGTTACATTTTTGTTCCCAACCTTGTAATTTTATTTCACTGTTGTCAGAAAACATAGCTATATTATTTTTATTTTTTTTTTAATTTGAGATTTGTTCTATTGACCAGATTAAATTCTATTGTGGCAAATAACCCAGGACTCTTTGTAAAGTACTGAATGATCCGCCGTTGTTGTGTATTGTGATGGGGCCACGCTGGTTAATTCTGCTGATCAGATCTTCTGTATCTTTACTGACGGGCTATTTGCTTTGTTTTTTACCCAGATATGTTTGCAATCTCTGAGTGTGCATTTGTGTATTTCTTCATCTGGTATGTTAGTTTTGATTTGTATATCTGGAAATTATTTATGAGATACATACAGACTTGCAATTATGTTCTCCTGCTGACTTGACTCTTTGATCATGATGAAATGTCCCTCATTACCTCCCACGCTCCTTGCCCAAATTGCACTCGGTCTCATATGGAAGTAGTCACACCAGTTTCTTTCCCTTAGTGTTTTCATGGAATCCAACTTCTTTTAGACCACCCACCCTTTTGCGTTCAACCTGTGGGCATCTTTCTATTTAAAGTGTGTTTTTTTTTTTTTGGAAACAGCATGTGGTTGGTTTGTTTTTGCTTGGCTCAGTTTTGCAACCTCTGCGTTTTGGTTAGGGCGTTTGGTCCACATACATTTCATACCTGTGATGCGAGCATTGGGTGTTTGCTCCCCTCTTACCATGTGTTTTCTTTGTTCTGCTCTGTTCTATTTCTCCTTTCTTCCCTTTGTCTTTGGTACTAATATAAGTACTTTCTCTTATTCCTTTTTCTTCTCCATTAGCTCATTCCACTTTATAATTTAGTATCACTCCTTCAGTGTTTACCCTAGAGATTTCAGAATATATCTATTAATTATTTAAATGTACCCTAAATTAGTTCTTTTACCATGTAATACAGAAATCCCAAATAAATTAATAATTAGTAATAAATACTGCAAAATTTTTAGTAGTTTATCTCCATTTACTCTTTCTTCTTTTCCTCATTTTTGTCATATGTATTATGCCCATTGATGATATTGCATAAGACATTGTTATTATTATTATTCCAGACAAGTGATAATCTTCTACATTTACATCAACTTCCACTTTTAAGAGATTTTTTTCCCCCTTGCTGGATTCAGAATTTTAGGTAGGCAGAGATTTCCCCTGCTTCGGGGACTTTGAAGATCTCATTACATTGCCTCCGGCTCCCATGGTTTCTGTTCAAAAATGGGTTGTTTTGTCATGGTTTTTGTGTTTGGTTTTGTTTTACTGAATTAAGTGTGTTACTTTATCTCTGACTGCTTTTAAGATTTCCTTCTTATTTTGGGGTTTTGACAATTTGACTGTGATGGGCCTGGTGTGATTTTATTTGTATTTATCCTGTTTGGATTTTTCTGAGCTTCTTCAAGTTGTAGAGTCAAGTCTTTTATCATATTTGGAGAATTTTGGGTTATTATATATTATTTGAGAAGTTGACTCTTGTTTCCTAAAAAAGACATGCAAGAGAATTCATCACTGGCAGAAAGTGCCTGGCTCTCTCCTTTCTTTTCCTTTGCTCCACAGACCCATCTATCAGAGCACCTCTGAACTCCAGCCTCTGAGTCCCCCATTGAACAGGACCACCCCTCTCAGCTAGGGCTCCCACTTCTGACCTACAGTTTGGAAAATGCTGCAGTGAGAAAGCCAGGGAGAATATGGAGCTCGCCTTGTTGTGCATCCTTTTCCTCAAGGATTATAGCCTGCATTGACTGCCACTCAGTGCTTGCAAAGAACTGTTCTGTGCCTTTACCCAGATTTTGTAGTTGTCCAATCAGCTGGTCAGACCTGGTAGAAACTGGACCCTGAGGAGAGGAATATAAAGTTGAGCATTTCAAGGTGGGAAAGGGGTGGCAGATGAAGAGTTTTTCATGTTGAGGGAGAAGCAAGTGACCAGGACCCAAGGTAGGAATGAACCTGGTTAATAGAAAGAGAAAGTAGGCAGTGCAGCAGGATCACGTGGGCAACAGTGGTGTGAGATGGGGCAGAGCTCAGATGGCCTGCAGACCCCAGTTACGACACTTTCTAAATGCAATGGGAAGCCACTAGGGGCTTTTAAGCGGGAGAAAAATGTTGTTCAATTCATTTGTAAAAAGATCACTGTCTGCTGGGAGGAAAAGGGCCAGGGGGATGCAGGGAAACAGTCAAGACAACTTTGCAGTCAAGAAATGATGCCAAGAGATGATGCCAGAGTTGAGGAATTTGGAACTAAAAGAAGGGAGGATTCCAGACAAAAACCAGAATTGAAGGAAATGAGGTTTGTTGATGTACAGGAGGCAGGGACAAGAAAGTGTCCCCATTTCATCATCCCAAGTCACAGACTTGATCATGTTGCTATTTTGCTTAAAATCCTTCTGTCTCTTCCTCTTGTACTTGGTGTGAAATCCCAACTCCTTCTGGTGAATTCTAATCCAGGCCTAGGGAGCCTTAGCTGTTTGCGTCCCACCCCCCACCCTCCGGCATCCTTGCTTGGCCCCTCCTACTCCCCAGTCTTCTCCTGGGAACTGCCACTCATCCTTGGGGTCTCCTTTGGTGGGGGGGCAGTGTCTCCCAGGGCCGCAGATGGGCTCTGTGTGGAGGTGTGATGGCCCTTTCACAGCGTGTCATTGGTCCTGGTGGGAACACCTCTACCATGGGAATCAACAGGTACTACGGCTTCACATGCCCCTTGACCAGCCCAGAGAGCAGTGGTCATATTTCCATCCCCCAGTGCTGGATGGCAGTGGGTGTCTCTGGCTTAGTGCCTCCCAGCTTCCCCTCACCGTGTAGTGCTGATTGGCCTATTTCTGTATTGGTCTCCCCACCAGAGCTCCCCGAGGGCACCATAACCCTCAGGACAGCGTGTGGCTGGAGCCCATGCCGATCATGCCCGTTTGGGAGCAAGTGGGTCATGAGCCATTCACAAGACTGCTGAGTGGTGCCATCCCATGTGGCAGGCAGGGCTGGCCCCTACCCCACACGTCCATTCTCTTTAGAACATACTGGGAGAGCCAGTAGAACGTGATCTAAGGGTCCCTGGGATGAACCCCTTGTCCCAGTCATCAGGGAGGGGACACAGCAAAGGCACCAAACTTCCCAGAAAGGCCAAGTTGTTTTGCAAGTCTTAGAGCTGGATTTCATGAAACCATCGGGAGCACCCATCTGTTCCTGACAGGGCCCAGCCTGTGCATCTTAGGCCCACGCTCTGTGAATTTCTATTAATTAGAAGAAAACCACATTCTGCTCTCAGATTTCTTTCCTAACGAGGGGGAGGCCTCATCAACTGCGAGGCACATTGATTCTGCCCTTGCACTGGCCTCTCTGTCCTCTCCCAGCAGAGTGGCTCAGGCCCCTCCTCCCTGCTCACCCCCAGGCTGAGAGCACAAGGAAGAGATGAACTTTGCAGGTCATCAGATTCCCAGGGTGACCGCTTTCGATGAAGGGTGCACTGCCATGCCCAAGGAAGGGAGTGTGAGAAGCCTCTGAGCTCTGGGCTCCTGCAAAAATGAGCCTGGTGTTTAGTAGATCCGCACCTTCACCAGCCACTGTAGCATGTGAACTGGTTCCTTAATGATGCCCAGGCCCTGGGTCCAGAAAATCCCCCTCTGATGATCTCAGGGAAGGACTCAGAGGTCCATCCAGTTGTTACGTGTAAGGGTGTTTGTGATCGCCCCAATTACAGCAGCCAAATTTAGAATGCCCTGAGCATTCAGCATGCCACAGAACGTATGCTCACCATGATGTTTTCAACATTATTGCATAATACGGAAAAATGCTCCTGACATGGCATTGAGGAAGAAAAGCAGAATGCCAAAGATGTAGATGGTCTGTTCATTGTTATATAGAGAAAATCTATGTGTGTGTCTGTATGTGTTTATATGTGCTTGCCTGTGTGTCTGTGTGTATGGACATTATTAAAAAATAAGACTTTAGAACCCAGAACCACTGGGGATAGGGGCATTGCTACTATTCAACACCCCTGCCGAATACTACACCACCTCTCCTTCACATCTTTCTGCCTTCCTGGAAATTCACCATGACATCGTATGAAACCCGCTCGTGTCTGACCCCCAAAAGAGTGAGAGACCATTTTGTACTGATTTAAGAAAAAGCATTTGGGGGAAAATGTACTATCCTCTGCTTTATATAAGTGGAGGATGCTTTAATGTAATAAGCATCTCGTAATTGGATTTGAACCTTAAATTCCATTCATTATACCTTTTTTTAGTAGAGTGGTGACCGAAATCGATGGAGACAGATTCTGGAACGCCCTGCCATTTTGCATATTTTTGAAAAGATGTGCAAAAGATATATATATATCGGAATATATATATATATATATATATATATATATATATATATATATCTGAAAATCACATTCTAGAATGTTATTCTGTGATTCCCCAGACCCTCCCCAACACCCGCCTCCCCGCAAAAAAAAAAACCCGGGATGGGCCACACGCTCACATGTGCTCATGCATACAGGCATAGCAAAAAGACTGGGAAAAAATATGTGGATAATAACAATGATTATTCTGGCTAATAGGGCTTGGGGTGACTTCTGTTCCTTTATTTTCTAAAATTTTTGACTTGAGAAAAAAATGCAAGCCAGAAAAAAAAAAATTAAGAAGGAAAACAGGTCCTTTTATTTGCTAAGGCAAATTACTTAGAAGCTAAGCTAAGCATTTCCATCAGATGGGTGATTTCCACAGCTGCGGGACCCAGAGGCAGACCCCCCGACAGAGGACCTGAGGGTTTGCGTGGGGCAGCTCCAGCACCGGGTGCTGACCCTACAGTGCCAACTCAGAGACCAGACGTCTGCCCACCGCCAGCTGCAGGAGGCACTTGGGGAAGCCGCCCGCCTCCGGGACCAGCTCCAGGGCGAGGTAGGCTGGAGCCCTGCTTCCTTTCCCGCCTGTAAATGAAATGGGCCCACACTCTAGGAAGTTGTGTTTTGTTTTGTTTTGTCTTTTAAGATTTTTAAAATTTATTTGAGAGAGTGAGTGAGCATGAGCGGCGGGAGTGAGAGGGAGAAGCAGACTCCTCGCTGAGGAGGGAGTGGGATGTGGGGCTCGATCTCAGGTCCCTAAGATCGTGACCTCAGCTGACCCGGGCATCCCTCTGGGAAGTTTTGAGGACTTGAATCAGGCCAGATCTCTCCATTCCCAGCAGTTTGGTATTATTTGTGAGATTTCCAAAGTAAAGACCAGTATGGGAAGGAAGTGAGACCTGTAATCCCTCCACAAGCTAACGTCTGCTCCATCTGAAACTAATATACATGGGTTTTTCTAGAAAGTCTAACTGGTTTTCACATCTTACATAATAAAAGCCCTTCCTCTGTAGTAGTGAAGTGAGAGTGATTTTATAAGGGCAGAGAGATCCTTGACGATGTGAAAGGTTCATTACCTTATCTGTGATGATGGAGATAGAAACTTTCATGGTTGATAAAATTACTCAGAACTAAGCACACACACACACACACACACACACACACACAGGACAAGCAGAACTGAGAAATCTGAGTAGGGTTGGTAGATTGTTCCAATATAATTGACACTATAAGGTTGTAATATATTATAATTTTATAAAATGTTCCCCTTAGGGGAAACAGGGCAAAGGATACAAGGGATTTCTTTGTCTTATTTCTTATGACTGCATGTAGATCTATAATTATCTCATTTTTTTTTAAATGCAAAACAACAACAAAAAAAGTCCTTCCTCACTTTGACCCCAACCCCTTCTGAGCACCAGCATTTTTTTTCAACCCTATGTATTCACACTCGGTGAATGTGTGAATGTGTAGACATACATGAAATTATACCACAAAAAATAATCCGCGTCTTGATTTTTTCATTTAAATTTTTTTTAAAAAAGTTTAAAAAGATTTTATTTGTTTGTTTATTTGACAGAAAGAGAGAGAAAGAGATAATAAGAGAGCATGAGTGGGGAAGAGAGGGAGAAGCAGGCTCTCTGCTGAGCAGGGAGCATGACATGGAGCCCCATCTCAGGACCCTGAGATCATGACCTGAGCCAAAAGCAGATGCCTGAGTGAGCCACCCAGGCACCCTGTTGGTTTCCTTATTTAATAGAAAATCTTGGTGCTATTTCCATATTAACATATACAAAGGACCTCATTTAAAAAAAATCCATTATTATTTTTTCGTAAGGCCAAACCATAACTTAATCAATTCTTTGTTTATGGAAATCCACATTGTTTCTGTTTCTTTGCTTTACAAACAAAGCTTAGTGAACGTTTCTCTATCTCTTGACTTGGGATATGTTTCTGCTACATATTCGAAGGGTAAAATTCTAGCAAAGTAATTACTGGGTCAAAGGAGAGGTATGCAATTAACTTTGATACAGAAGGGCAAGTAACCCTCCAAAGTCAGTGCTCATTTATGCTTCTGCCAGGAATAAATGAGTGTATGTGTTCACCCACACTTGTTACCCAGAATGTTATCACTTCCATGTTTTTGACAAGCTGATGGATGAAAAACACACCATCAACATTGTGACGTCATCTCTGGCTCCTTTCCCATGCGTTCTTTGTATAATCAGATACACTATACTTAGAGTTTCATGTCTGTTGCCTCCTAAACCTTGGGCCCAGTATTTTTTTTTTTTTTTTTTGCCTGTGCAGTGATCTATTGGGTGGAAGTGACTTTCATTCACCTGTTGTTGGATCTGTGGTTATTACCATTAATATATATATATTCCTGTTTATATGCAAGAGCTCAGAGAACTGGGATTACTGGCCCAGAGTGGGGTCGAGATGGTTCTTAATCCATATTACAGAAAGCCTTCCCAGTGCTGATACCACTTCCAAAGCCCAGGCAGTGAACAGGGAATGTTCCCTGCTGTTCCCTCCTTGTGTAGCAAGGAAGCTAGTAGGACTTTTTTCTCCTGTCACTGATCTGTGAAGCATATACGTCCATTTGCATATGCAGGAACTTTTTACCATATCTAGTATCTTTTGTAGTCTGTTTTTCATAGTTTTCAATGTTTTTTTCTTTCTGCTCTTCAGTTTGGGTGTTTTTTTCTAACCCATCTTCCAGTGAATACTCTTCAGGAAGTCAGATTTACTCATAAACTCATTATTTTTGTTCTTAATTTTAGGTATTGTGTTTTACAGTCCTAGAATTTCCATTTGGTTCTATTTTTTTAAAGATTGTATTTATTTATTTGAGAAAGGGAGTGAGAGAGAGAAAGCGCAAGCGGGGGCGGGGGGCGGCGGGTAGCAGCAGAGGGAAAGGGAGAAGCCGACTCCCCCCAAGCAGGGAACATGATGTGGGGCTTGATCCCAGGACCCCGAGTTCATGACCTGAGCCAAAGGCAGACGCTTAACCGACTGATCCACCCAGAAGCCCCTCCATTTGGGTCTTTCTAATTTTTATTTTATTTTAGCTGTTTTCCTGTTTTGTTTTGTTTTTGAAAGAGAGAGAGAGCACAAGCAGGAGGAGGGGTGAGGCATAGGGAGAAGGAAAGGGAGAATCAGACTCTTTGTTGAGCACAGAGCCTGACACGGGGCTCAGTCCCTGAGATCTGAGATCAGGACCTGAGCCAAAATCAAGAGTCAGACACTTAACTCACAGGGCCACCCAGGCACTCCCCCTAGACCCTGGCCATTGGGTTCTTTTTTGCTAGCTTTCCATTCTCTGATGAAATTCTTGTCATAGGACAATGGGGCACTTCAACCTTGAGGTCAGTCTTCGATAGCTCTGTTCTCCAGGCCCATCAGCATGGACAGATGCCCCAGATTCTCCACGAGTGCAGGGACCTTCACGCCCTTCTGTGTGGTATTGGCCATCTCAGCAGGCATGAGGTGCTAGCTCTGTGTGCTTTGCTTTGCCTTTCTCCAGTGGCCGATGGTGTTGAGCATCTTTTCACGGGCTTCCTGGTCATGCATCTATCTTCCACTGGACAAACGACCATTCAGTTCTTTTGTCCATTTTGCAACTGGATGGTTTATTTCTTTGTTGTTGAGATGAAGAGTCTGTATATGTTCTAGATACGAGTCCCGTATTAGATACGTGGCTGGCAAATATTTCCTCACATCTGTTGTCTTTTTCATTTTCTTCTCATTCACTTTTTCATTGCAAACGCCCCAGCACACAGGGCGCAGCAACATTCACGCTGTTGCCTAAAACGACGCAGGCGGGAGGTTGACTGCAAGCCTGCCAATGTTACTGAGTGCCTTTTGACTAGAAAACTGTCTGTTTGGAGCTGGCATTTTGCACTTTGAATACATTCCAAAAGGTACGCCAAAAGAGCCGTATAGGAATGTTCATGGAGCCTTGTTTGGAAAGCAAAGAAACAATATACACTTTCATAAAACATGGGTTCAATAGGTCACCTTTCAGCCTCACGCTGAAATAATGTGCCAGATTTTAAGTGGACGTGATCAGTTTGTATGTGTTGGCATAGAAATAACACCTGGACTGTAAATTCAGTGACAAAACTGAGACATAAAACATTTGAATAGTGTCATTTCATATGTATGTATACATATGTCGGCATTCTGGTCGTGAATAGGCAGGGTTGAGACCTGCGTGAGAGATCAGAAGAGGTTGGCAAGAGGAGGAAGGATTTTTATTTGTGTCGCTTTCTTGTTCTGACTACGAAGGGAACAAGAGGCGGAAGGAGAAGGACTTCGAGACCAGCTGTCTTATTCTCTCTTAGGATTTGGTGGGTCAGCAATTCAGACAGGACTTGGCAGGGCAGTTGTGCTCCACCGAGCATCCGTGGGGATGACTCGCTGGCATTCAGCGGGGCGCGGGGCCCGGCTGGAAGGTCCAGAGCTGCTTCACTGACATGCGCACGCCAGACAGTAATAACGGTTCACATTCCGTGAGCATTAAGTGGGCGTTCTAAGCACTTTACAGGAAACGATTCACAGCGTCCTTGCTATAATCCTCACTCATTGGGTAGGTGCTAATATTACCCCCACTTTACAGATGAGAAGACCGAGGCAGATAGAGAAGTGATTTGTACAAGGTCACAGTTCTAGCGAGGGGCTGAGCCAGGATTGGGACCCAGGGTGTTGGGCTCGGATACCAGGAGGTTTAAAAACACGGTACAAGAAAACTCTGGCATTTCTGCAGGGGATATCTGGGAACGCTTCCTGCCTAAATGAAGAGGCAACAGAGGTGGTCCCACAGCCACCGTCTGGCAGAGCTCAGAGCATCCTTCCTCCTCTGGTCTTGCAGAGCCGGGGATGGGAAAGGTCCCTGTGCCTCACTGACAAGCCCATGTGGGAAAAGAGGGGACTAGAGTCAACCTCTCTGAGCCCAGCTCACCTGGGGAGATGCTGGCGGTGTAAACGGTGGTGGGGTGGGGCACAGCCTTCTCACACATGTTGGTTCTCTTTCAGCTTGATGAGCTTCAGAAAAAGCAACACGAGGCCAATTTTGCTGTGGCTCCTTTAAAGGTACTATGTCTGTGAGATCAGTATGAAATGTCTCTTCTAAACAAACAGAGCTCATATTTTCCCCATTCTAGATCTTCAGTCCATCTTTATTATTTTAAAAAAAGCACATACACACACTGGAAAGAAGAGAAATATCACCCCCAAATTCCCATTCAAGTCTAGAGTTTTCGTGTATTTTCTTCCGGTACACTTTACATGTGTCTGAGATCCCACCACATCTGTGGTGTCTGTGTCCTGCTTTTGCTGCCGGAGAATAATCCAGGAGGGCTGTCCTTGTCTGCCCCAAGCCCTGAATCAGCTGTTCGTGCTGGAGAACGAAACACCAGATCTGCAGTTCATAAAGCTGCCGGAGCCCTTGCTCCATGGTCAGGTCCGTCTGTCCGTCCTCCCCTCTCCCACCCGCTTTTGCATTCTTGTATATAAATATCGTGATGCACACATTTTTTTAGAAGGGTTTTCCCCACAGAGCCAGACATGTCTTTAGGACAGATTCCCAGAAGTAGCCCTCATGGCCCAAATGTTCTTTGCCATTCGGATGTGTCATTTGCTGGAAACCTTCGATATGGCACCCGAATTTGGGAAGTGGACCTGGAGGGCCTGCCCTTTTCTGTCCAGTCTCTGGGTCGGGTACAGAGGGGGTCCGGGCCCCCACTGACTCACCAGCCCCACCCATGCTGGGTCCTTGGTTTCCTTAGATGTTAACGCAGAAATGTGAGCCACGCCATCCTTCAAGCCCTTCTCCCTCCCAGCGCTCCCACATCTGTCAGAGGCTCGGGTCTATGGTTGTGATGTGGCGTGACGGTCATTCCCACTCAAAGCTTGTTCTGACACCCTGTGGATGTCAGCAGTGGAAACGCCAACCCTAACGCCCTATGAAAATGTGAAGCTTCCACGCTCCGCCCTCTTTTTTTTTTTTTAATCATTTCCTTATACCTTTTACTTAAAAAAAGACCATAATCCCTTGTAAACTACAAAGGCTGCCATATGCCAGGGACTCCACACAGTTTATTTTAAGGTCTATGAGCAACATGATAGGAAAGGGGCACATGAGCCCACTTTACAGATGGGGAAAACTGAGGCTCACAAGGGAAGTGACCTGCCCATAGTCACACAGAGCTACTTGGTAGCAGAGCCATGATTTGCATGCAGTTCTGTCTGATGCCAAAGGCTCCCCTCAGCCACATGGTCCCTCCCATGCAGTTCTGTCTGATGCCAAAGGCTCCCCTCAGCCACATGGTCCCTCCCAAAAGAGCCCAGTAAAGTCACTGTCACCACGAACAAGGCCTTGTAGGGGGAGCTGCAGTTACTATGTTCAGCTGATGCAGGCCAAATGCATGAGACCCTGATGTTTTGGGGTGGTGTGATCCAGGGGACCTGGGGAGCCCCACCCAAGGGTGCTGAGAACCCCAGCCTCCAAGTCAGGCCCCCTCCTGCCCTGCCTTCTTGCCAGTATGGGGTGCCTAAAGACCGCTGCCTGGGGGATGTGCCCAAGCCTCAGGGCAGGAAGTCCTGGCAGGAAAGCATCATCACCTCCTCTTCTGATGGAGCAGAGCGCACACCAGAAGGGACAGAGACTCACCTGGGGCCAGCCTTGAATGACAAGAGGCTGTCACCCCCTCCAGACATGCACAGATGTGGGAGGTCATTTCATGGTGGGAGGGTCACTCACTCATACCATCCATGTAATAAATCCTTCCCAAGGGCCATGCTGTCCCCAGTGATGGCCCAGGGATCCAGGGCAGTGTGACCCCTGACCTCGAGGAGCTCCCAAGCTACGTAGGAGACAGACCCACAAGTATAATATCAACTGTTGGGATAGAAGGAGCAGGGAGCCAGGCAGAGAGGGACACCAGCCGCTTCTATCCTGGTGCCCTAAATGATGCCCATCGTACAGATGAGCAAGTCAAGGTCTAGAGAGAAGCTTGGTCACAGCTGGTCAGTTAGTGGCAGAGTCCACACTCTTGACCCCCTGATCCTGAACTCCATATCCAGAGAGCAGTGGGGAGCCCCAGGGGGCGCAGCAGTGTGGTGACTTTTTTCAAAGCAGGTTCTGGCTTGTGGGCACAGGAGGAATTGCAGGGAGGGGGTTGAGCCCAGGCTGTGCTGGGGAATGCAGAGCAGGAATGTGATGCCCCAAGCCCAGCCCAGCCCAGCGGCTCAGACCCGGATGGTGTCCTGCATTGGTGGACCTACCTGGCTACGTCTCCACTCCCACCCTCCCAGGCCAAGCTGGCTTCCCTGGTCCAGAAGTGCCGGGAGAGGAACTGCCTGATCACACACCTGCTTCGGGAGCTGCGCAGACACGGGCTGGAGGACCAGCTGCTTTCTGAGATGGCACAGAGCATGGTGGACGACGTGGCACTGGCCGAGTATGCAGCCACCTTCCCGGCTTCGGGGCTCCCAGAGGTAGTTCCACAGACACCGCTGTCCCTCTTCTGGTGGGAGCTGTGGGGCCATGAGCTTCCTGCCCACCTGCCTGAGCTGAACTGTTCCTCCTTCCCTCTGCCCACTGACCCCACCCAGAACGCACCCAAGACTCCTGCTCCGTGATGGCACCCGTGCTCCCAGTGGGTGCAGGAGGCTGATCTGGGTGTCCTTACCCTTAAAGGCCTCACAGCCCCTGGCGGGGGGACAGACACACAAACAGCGTCAGTTCAGGGTCCTGCATGCACTGGGCTGTTTCTTCCACCAGGTGGTGCTTTCATGTGTGCCCCAGGGCCTTAGCACTCACCACTTACCCCGGCAGGATTCTGGTCTGTCCCGCAGCCTTCAAGACACAGCTCAAGCGTGACCTTGTCCAGGGAGCCTTCCCTGGGTCCCGCTGAACACAGAGGTTGCCACATCCTCTTCCCTCCGTGGCACGTCAGAGGGAGTTTCCTCTGCTGTTGTAGGAGCTTTGCCAGCTCTTCGTCAGCAACTTCATAACCATCTCTGGCTCCGTAGTGTCTGGCCCAGAGAAGCTGCTCAGGGAATACTTGTTACATGAATGAAATCAGGAGCTAACTGAATGAGGATCTCCTTTCCTAATCGCCATCTGAAGAGGAAATTGAGGTTCAGAAAGGTTGGAAGGCTCGCTCAAGGTCATGCTGCCCCCAGGCAGTGTGGATGGTCATTGATGCCAGTTCTCACCCAGGTCTGGCCCTGAACAGCAGCACCTGGGGTCTCTGTGCCTGGTACAGTGGGTGCTCAGCTGAGGCTGTCCCCCATCCCCCTCATATACAGGCAGGCACACAACCTCATTCCTGGGGGCCAGCGAGCAACACCCCCAACAAACGCAGCTCCTGCTGTAGACATAGTCGGCCCTGATTTCCACGCTCCCCCTAGGCAACTTAACCAACTCTGTTCCTCCACTTCTTGGCCCTTCCCAGCCCAGCTCTGCAAGTCCCACCTTCTCTGTCCCTTCCGTTCGCCCCGCAGCCGTCAGAGGCCCCCTCGTCCCAGCCAGCCACCGTACAGCCCAGGAAGTAAAGTCCTGGAGACTCAGGGCCACATGGTGACTTGGTTCAGAGCCAGAATTTGAGTCCAGAGTCCCAGACTCCCAGTCCAGTGCTCATCTCTTTGCACAGATGCTCAAGTCTCTTCAGAGCCAGCATAGGGCTGAGGAAAGAAGTCAGCGGCTTGTTGAGATGCTTGGCACAGTCTCTGTGTTGACCAAAGCAGGAGGAAAAGCAGAGTTCCAGGGTGTGGGATGTAGTAGGTGTCATATGCGAGGGCCAGCTGGCTATGTGCTGAGGGACCTCATAGTGGTGGGAGCCCCACCCTCCAAGGGCTGCTTTGAAACTTAGAACTGAAATGTTCTCTGGGATCGGATAGGCTGACTTACAATGACCAAATTCATAGAGACTGATGTATAAACCTGACCACTAATTTATCAGTTTCCTGTGAGAACTAGAACCATATGCAGGCTGATGTACTGGATGGATGGATGGATGAAAAAAAATGTCAGCATGTATTTCTTCCCTGAAATGGTGGAGTTGTCTGGAATTTCATTCATTCATTCCTCTGTTCATTTGTTAGTTATTAAATGTTTACAATCAGAATCTCCTTCTGGAGACTGGGATGAGAACAAGGAGAATTAATGGTACCATCAGCCTGTGTCATTCATTTCCTGTAAGGATGTGCTCCTAGGGCCTGGACATGCCTCCCGCTGGGCCAGGGTGTCTCCCCGAGACCTGTTGAAAGCCATGGCTAGTTAGAAGATTCTACTGTTCTGAGGTGGCTTTGAATCTGCCCTGATTCATTTTGCGTTACTTTACAATTCCGCTCTCCAAGAACACACCTCATTTTCATGATTGGGTGGGGTAGTGGGGTGCCTCACTGTTTCGTGTGCAGACCACAAAATCCACAGATACCTAGCACCCGCTGCCATGCCTCAGGCCTGGTGCCAAGTGCTGGGCAGAAATGGTGAAGCAGGCAGACCATTACATGCTCTGAGCCTCAGTTTTGCCTTCTGTAAAATGGGAACAGTACAGCCTATGTGCCAGAGTTGACCTGAAGACAGATAATCTGTTAAACACCCCATGCAGGGGATCCCACTGGGTAGGAACCTGGTCCTTGTGTGGGCAGCTGTCAAGAGGGCACGCCCTGGAGTCAGGGAGCTCCACCACTGCCTAGCTGTATGGCCTTGGTGGGGGAACGCTTACGTGTACCCCTTACGGTGCGTGGGCACTTTCCCCCGTGCTTTATGGAGCTCACTCAGGAGGTCCTCCTGCAGGGAAGGAGGCTCATTGTCCCTTCCCCAGTTAGGAAAACTGAGGCTCAGAGGTTCTAAGTCTGGCTCAAAGACACACATCTCTGGGTAGTTTTCTAGCTTGGGCTTCTCGGTGTGAAGCAGCTTGGCTGAGCTGAGCTGGCATTTGACCCCAGCAGGGGGCTTCTGGGCCCAACCACTGCAGTGACGAGCCTGTGGGAAGGGCAGGGTAGTGGGTGCAGAAGCGCTATTGGGGGTCTGGGCCACAGCTTGGGGTTGGGCTCATCCCATGTCCTCAAGGAATTAGTCCCTCGTGTTGCTGGATGGCCAACCCCCAGGGTGCAGCCTCTAGGCAGTGACGTGTCTAAGAACCCAAGGGTGGTGCTCCAGGCTGGCTGTGGGTGCTGGGCGCTGAGGGGAGCAGGAGTGGGAGACTGGAGTGGGTGGGAGGTCACCTGCACTTCATTTCTGAGTGAGCGCGGAGCCAGCGTTGGTGTCGGAGCAAGGTCCCTGTGCTTCTGGACGGCAGATGCTACAGGCACGTGGGCTGGGCTGAGCTGTGGGTGCCACGCAGGCTGTGCACGTGGCAGCTCATTTAGTTCAACAGCCGGTGACTTGGGCCGTGAGAACTGAGGGCCAGGCAGCTGAGCAGAGCCTTGTGTCGGGGGGGGCACCGAGGCCCTTGAGGGGGTGGTAGCCGTTCCTCCTGCTGGGCAGCTGGGCAGGAGGTGGGCTTTGCAGACACCAACTCTCATTTCAGAGAACACAGGTGGAATTCCCGATGTTGGTTGTGGACCCTGCCTTGCAGCCTGGGAGCCCTGCCCAGCTGGCTGGGGAGTCATGGGTGGGCTCAGGGGGATTTACCAGAGCAGAGGGAGCACTGAGGCTGGGCAGCGGGGCTGTCTGATGTGCCAGGGGTGGCCTTGTGGAAACATCCCTGGGAGGGGCTGGACCCTGGAGACTCAGGTTGTCTGGCCCCTGCCCGGGGAAGGAGACCCACCCTGACCCCAGATGTCCAAGGGAGGTTGGGCTGCTTTATTCACTGGGCATGGTGATGAGAGCCGAGACTCAGTCCTCCCTGGCACTAGCATGTTCTATGGATTAGCTCACTTCATCCTCTCAAAGCCTGCTTTATCAGTGAGGAACCAAGGCCCAAGGCAGTCAAAGAGCTGGGCAGGGTCACACGTGGGGCCAGCAGGCTGGGGTTCATTGCTATGTCTGTCTACTCTCCTGCTCTTGGAGGAGGGGCTCACACCTGCAGCAGGTCCCTCAGGTCAGTATGTACCACCTGTCGAGTTGATTTCTTCACCCTGGTGGGGCGGTGATGGATGGGAAGCCTTGGCCCTCTGAGCACCTGTGCCTTTTCCTCGGGGCTGTGTGTAAGTCGCAGTCAACTCGGGCAGCTATAACAGAATCTGATAGGTGGGGGCTCTCGCAGTTTTGGAGCCTGGAATTCGGAGCTGAAAGTGCAGGCGTGGACAGGGGCTAGTCGGGGGGTGGGGGGCGTCATCTGGACTGCAGCCTCAGGAAGATGGAGGTCACCGGCGCAAGGGAGCTGCTCGTTTCCCTTCCTCTTGTCCTGCTCATTCCTCTTCCCTCCATCTTCTGGAAGAAGCTTGCTTTCCTCTGGGTATTGTCAACGAGCTCTATATATGGGCCTTCAGAAATGGATGTCGCCTTAAAAAGAAGCAGTGAGACTTGGAGTCCTAAACTCCCCTAATTCATTAAATCAATGACCCCAGGCCTGGGCCTCCAAGGATCCAGGCAATTATTTTCTCTTTAGCTTTTGCTTTTTATGAAGTTTAGAACATTCCCCCAAAAGTTTTCATGGAGAGAGAGGCAGGGGGAATGGAGCATGTAGGGTGAATCTTTGTACCCTGAGTGGGGCGGGTGAGTGGAAGATTCAGTAGCCATCCATTCTCACTGTATTCTGACAAAACCCCACACAGGGCATAGTAGTGTGTCCATTCTACAGATGGACACAGCAAGGCTCTGGAGTTCCACTAACTTGGCCAAGACCATGGGCTTGGTAAGAGGCAGAACCAGGATTCAGCCTGAGAGTGCCTGGCTCTCAGCCTCCCCGGGCTGGTGGGAAACACGAGGAGTGGGGAGCAGGGGAGGGTCTTTAGAACCCTGATCACATGCTGAATACAGTGCCACCTGGAAGCCAGTGGGACAGGTCTGAGGCTGCTCTGGATATGAAGGTCAAGGAAACCTCATTCTCATGTTGAAGGAGTTTACATCAAACGAGACACACTCTAAAACTGGGAGCAAGGAGAAGCATACATTTGGAGCACTGGCAGTGAGCAGAGGAGAGACACTTGATGGAGAAGAGGCTTCCTGGAGGAGGAGACACACACGTCAGGCTTGGAAGGATATAGAGGGTTTGGGATAGTTGGAAGGACAGAGTGAAAGCACTTGAGGCCTGGAGACCTGCATGCAGGAGGGCACAGAGGTGTGAACAGTGAAGGTGCTGGAAGACACAGTGTTTCCAGGGGTGTAAGTGCCAAGCGCTAAGAGGAGACAGCGAGCGTGCACAGTACAGAAGACTCCAGTAAGTGTGGTGTGGGTTATGGTCCAGCCATAGTCTCTGCCCTTGGGCATTAGTCGCTGGACTCATCAATCCCCCTTAGAGGGGACAAATGGCCCAGTTGTCACAGCACAGCACATGGAGGGGCCAGTGGCTGAACTCTGCCAGCTGGAGTCAGGGAAGCCTTCATAAAGCAGGGGACATTAGAATGAGGTCGTGACACTCACATAGAAGGTCACCAAAGAAAGAGAGGGAGAGAGAGAGCAAGCGCTGGGGTCCTCAGGCCGGGGCCCAGCCTATGTGACTGCTTGGTGGACACAGTATTGGGGGAAAGAAGGTATCCCAATGACACAGCATGCAGGGCCCCTGGTTCACCAGAAACAGCCAGAAGGAGGCACGCTCTGGGCTGCTGGTCTGAAATCTGACCCACCTTGAAGGCCAGCACTGATCTTGTTGAACCAGTCGGGTTGCCAGGCCAACCAGGCAAGCTGCTATTGCCACCTCACCTCTTATCAGCCCCGTGTGGTCATGGGATCCAGGAGGGTCACCACTCAGTCGATGGGGTGGTGCAGGGACTCAGGTTCAAGCCTGACCTGAATTTCTGGGCGCCTGAGCCTGGGATCCCAAGGGGTAGCTCAGCAATCAGTTTGTGCAAGGTGTTGGCGGGACCTCTTGGAGAAAGAGCATTTTTCTTGGAAACTCTGCCATCCAGCTGCCCTCCATTTTTCCATTTTCAACAGCAGTTTCTAAAACACATTAATCACAGTCTCTGTTTGGAGAATTAATTCGGGTATAGGAAATGCAATCGTTTTCCTGCACCTGTATTCCTTTAGCGCGAATCCTCCTCCTTTGTGGGTCACAGGGAGAGGAGGGACGGGTGGATCTGGCCAGACAATGTGTTTTCTGCAGGGAGGGGTGAGTGGCCTGCTTCATTCCAGTCACGGCCACCTGCGTGAGGCTTTTTCTCCTGAGCCGTTCAGAATAACTGCTGAGATGTCTTTTCTTCCAGTCCAGCCACCAACCGGATGTTGAGCCCGAGAAGGCAGCTGCTGTAAGAGGTCAGTGCGATATTCAGTTAGGAATATCTGTGTGCTCTGACACGGTCCAAGTCAGCAGGACGATCTGACAGGTGGGCCAGGGTCCAGTATGGACCCTGAAGAATGGGAGCCCGCTTTCTCCCCCCTCTCCTTCCCCACTTGGCCCTGCGTTCTCACTTCATGATATAAGCGGAACACAGGAGGAAAAATACCACCTCTGCAGAAGTGGCCCAGTTCCTCAGCCCTGTAGTTTCACTCCTGGAAATTCATCCTAAGTGAATAATTCTCTGTGTGGAAAAGCTCAGTGGACAGGTGTATTCATGCCGGCGCGTTTCTAATAATGAAAAACTGGTGGTGGTCAGGGGAGGGGTTCTCCAGCATTGTTAATTAGCCCGTAGACTCTGCAAAATATTGATCACTAAAATCATGCCACTAAGCACCGTGTGATACCATAGAAATGATGATATTCTCCATATTTTTAAAAGGTAGGGAGTGGAATGTTTGGGATGGTTACATGGATAAAGCTGGATAAGCACATCTTACAGGCTTATGAGTGGATGATTGGCAACTTACATTAGCAGATAAATTCTAATGGTGGTTACTTAGAAAGATGGTAACAGGGTGATTGCTTGTGTTCTGTTATTTTTATTATGAAAAGGGAAATTAAGATGCTACCTGGGGAAGGCAGAATTTCCCTGGTTAAGTGCAGTGTGCTCTCAGTGTGGGGGAAGGGAGGCCGTCAAAGGATTTAAGTTTATGTTCATATCAGGGGCTCAATAGAAACTAGGAGAAAGTCTGGATGGTGTTGACTTTAGGCAGCTGCTCACCTAGCAATTCCCTTACTGTACTTACAGCTGTGTAATCTTGGATGAGTTAATTAAGCTCTCTGAGCCCCAGAGTCTTATCTTCTAAAGAAGGATGATAGGGCCTTTCTCAGGACTGTCTAGGGCCTGATCCAAAAAGAGAGATCTTTTCTCTGTCTTTGTCTGGTCAGGCTGGGCCTGTCCTCCTGTACCTTCCCTTCCTATCCTTGCAGTCTGAGTGGACATCTCTTTTCACAGCTGGAAGGACATAAATTCCATTTGGTCCTGTATCTGCCACTATTTTACACCAGTGTCCTTCCTTTTCTGGGCTCAGCTTCCTCACCTTTAAAAGAAGGAGATTTGATAGATTGATTGGGTTACCTGTGCATTCAGCATTTCTGGAAGGCTGCCATGTACCAGACCCCCACTAGGTGTTGCAGGGTTCACAAAGGTGGGTCGGCTTGCAGAGGTGGTGGTCCCTGTGTTGGATGAGCTGACAGCTGGGAGGGAAAGCTGAGACAGGCAGTCAATTTTCTAGGATACCCATGACCATGGTGGGACCATCAGAGGGGTATTGATGAAGCATGTGAGGGTTTGAGGAAACGCGAGAGGGCCTCTGCCATGGGATTTGGGGACCTGGGAATGACAGAGACTGGGAAAGGTTATTCCAAGGCTCAGGGACTTGTTGACTTTTAGAATAGATTTCTGGATTGAGGCTTAATTGAGAATACTCTCTTCTAGCTCAGAAATACCACCTGAATCCCAAAATGGACAGTGTCCTCATCCAAAGACCTCTGCATTCAGAGTCCTGGCCTGTTCCCAAGGCTGAGTGGCCAGCACAGACAGCTCGACTGCATTCTCTGAAGGTGAGAGCACATCAGTCATCCAATTTCTTAGATCAGCTTTTTTATTAAAAATATAACACACATATGGAAAAGGACTCAACTTGTAAGTATACAGATCAATGAACTATCATGGAGTAATACCCAAAAAGCCATCATGTGGTTGAAAGCTGGAAAATGCGCAGCTCCACAGAGAGAGACCCCTTGGTCTCCCCTCCCAGTCTCTGTCTATTGTTTCTTTTTTAATTTGTGGGTTTGGTCAACTCCTGTGTTCTGTGCCTGGTTATTTTTCATCGAGTGCTGGACATCATGTATGAAAAATTAAAGACATCATTTGAGGTTCTGCTTGATACTGTCTTCCTCCAGAAAAGATTTCCTTTTGTTTGTGACAGGTGTGATGCCAGGACAGAGACCATTCCTCATGTCACAACTGGTTCAGAGATGAGTTTCAGAATTTGCGAGGTCTGCTTTCCTTCCTGTTCACTCTTACTCCTTGAGCATAGCCTTTTGGGGGTCCCGACCAGAAGCCTGTAGTGTTTATCAGCATCTTTCATCCTTGGCCCTTGTCAGTCCCATGAGGCTCTCAAAAGCTCCACTTAGCCTTCTGCCTCTCAGCTACCAGCTCTGCCCTCACCTGGAGGGAAATACAGCCTCCACGGCTATGCCCCCTACTCCTGGCTTGTCTCCTTGTTTTCCATTTTAGTCCCCCAGGTCCTGACCATCTTGGTAGCTCTTGAATGGTTTAAATAGATGCTGAGTTATAGTCCATCCTGCTTTTCCAGTACTTACTGGAATTTCAGTCCAAAATGTCTTAACCAGTTCTAGCCAGAGGAGCCCTCTCTTCCCAGAGAAAACGTATTTTAGTTGTGAGGTGTGGAGTCTGACAGGCCTGAGTTCAAATCCCAGCTGTTGTTTGGTGTGATGGTGGGCGGATTACTTAACGAGTCTGTGTTGCCGCCTCCTCGTCTGTAACATGAGGGTAATACGCCTACTGCTAGTATGAGCACAAAATCAGGGAAGCAGAGCGGAATATGTGTCTGAACAAGAGAGATGCTCAAAAGGAAAGAAAAAAACACCAGCCATGACTCAGGAGGCAACCAATCTTATTCTTAGCATTTTATCTCAGCCTATTATTGGTTTCCTTCTACCGGCCCTTCCTATGGCTTTTCTCCTGCCTCCATGATATTATTAATTTTTTTGTCTAAAACCTGGAGAGAAGGACACCTGGGTGGTTCAGTCAGTGAAGCATCTGCCTTTGACTCAGGTCTTGATCTCAGGGTCCTGGGATGGAGCCCCGCTCTCTGCTCAGTGGGGAGTCTGCTTCTCACTCTCCCTCTGCCCCTTCCCCAAACTTGTGCTTTCTCTCTCTCAAGTAAGTAAAACCTTTTTTTAAAAAAAGATTTTATTTATTTATTTGTCAGAGAGAGATAGAGGCAGACAGAGGGAGAAGCAGGCTCCCAACTGAGCAAGGAGCTCAATGCCGGACTCAATCCCAAGACCCTGGGATCATGACCTGAGCCGAAAGCAGATGCTTAACTGACTGTGCCACCCAGGCATCCCAATAAATAAAACCTTTAAAAAAATAAAAATAAAACCTGGAGACAGTATTTCTCTCGGAATTGTTGAGACAGTTCAGCGAAATCGTGCACACTGTTCTGCTCGCTGTTCTGCTGGGTGTAAGAAGAGCATTCAATAAATGCTAGCTACTGTTACTGACCTTCTTCTTAAACCTTTTCTTTCTTTTTTCTTTTTTCTGACTGGTGACTTTCATTTTAAATTCCTCATCTACAGGTTTATTACCTAGGATGAAAACTTTCTTCCAGCTCTGGTCTTTTTCTCGGAAAATTACTCTGACTTTTGATCTTTGGCCTGGCTTGTCCCAAGCAGGTGGGAGACATTCTAGACAAAGGGAACAGTGCCCACCAAGATAGAGAGGTTGGGGGAACTGTGAGCCATTAAATGTGGCTGCAGCACAAAGTAAGGCATAGAGAGGAGTCTAGGAGAACCCAGTGATGATGTGGATGAGAACAACGATGGGAAAGAAAACCCCCACTCTTGTCTCTTTAATGCTTGCTTACTATGTACTATGAATGCACTGGCTTTGCCAGTCCTCATAAGGGGCATACAAAATAGGAATCCGCATTAGCCCCCTTTACCTTTGAGAAAAGGTGAGGAGCAGAGGGGGTAAACAGCTCACCCCAGGACACACAGTTAGCAAGTGGCAGATCTGAGGTCCTATCCAGGCAGCTGGTTCTGGAGCTGGTGGGACCAGATCGAGTGGGGTCTTCCCTGGGAAGATGGGAGCAGTCCCTCCTGCCCCCAGTGCAGCCCAGTCTGGAGTTCAGTGTGAGGAGAAACCCCTCCAAGGTGTGCTCTAGGTGGTGCTGGCCGGAGACCGACAGCGGTCCTCTTAAGGAAGTAGTCAGAGCAGAAATGGGGTGAATGAATGGGCGAAAATCATGCCTCAACACTCGCATGGTTCCAGGAGTCTCCATTGTTCTTTGACTTTCTTCAAAGTCATCACCACACACTTGGGATGCCACTGGATGAAAACCCTTCCTTGGTTGGACAGAATTTCAAGCCCACAGGACATTTTTATGCCTTTGCTTTGAGTTGACAGAATGTCGATGGTGACATTTCTGTTCCCATGCTTTACCCAGCACCTGACCATGGTGAGCCTTCATGAATAATTGGAGAAAGGGGCTGGGTGGCTCTTTCTCTGGAGGGTCACACAGGCCCCTCGCCCTCACCCCCAGCACTACATTGTCACCTCCCACACCCCCAGTTCAGGCGTGGTTCTGCTCAGTTGTAAAGGACATCGAGGAACGGAGCCCTCTGCCTTGCAGAGAAGCAGATTGCAAGCCGTGGATATGGGCTGGCTCCGGGTAAGAGCTTCCTGTGGGGGGAAATGCATTTGTTAGGTAATTAAACTGGGGGATCAGTGACCTGTCAGCAAAATGAGGTCATTTTTGAAGGACACTAACTAAATTTATCACATGTCAAGATTCTATTATTTTATGGTTGAGCTCAAATCCAAGAAAAAAAAAGCAGCGAGGAACCTAAAATTACACAAAAATATCCCGAGAAGGCTGGTAAACCTTTGGCGATTGAAGAAATATTTGTCCCTATGTCACATCACCGTGATCCTGTCACTTGGCCACTGAAGACCCTTCAGCCATCCTGTGTTTAGCAGCAGACTGTAGTGGTGAACAGTGTGGGCTGTGAACAGTGTGGGCTTGGGAGACACCCTGTGGCTTGGGCTCCAGTACTGATTTTTGTCTCCTATTGACTGTGTGGCCCTAGCAAGTCACTTAACCTCTCTGGGCCTCTGTTTCTTCATCTGTGTAATGGGATAATAATATTAGTTACTTCTCTGGGTTCAAGACTGAATGAATCAATACATATATGTTGCTCAGCATGATACCTGGCTCATCGCGGGAGCTTGGTAAATGTTCACCATTGTAGATTGAGCCGTATGAAATATTATATGCCCCTTTCCTACAAAATCTGCGTTTTCATAAGGTCTAAACTATTCTTATTATGATGACAAGTCCAGATTCCTTAAGTCTCTGTTTGCATTCCATGTGTGCATTACTCCACATGGAATGACCCTCGGTTTTTAACACTTCAGAATCCTGCTCCTTCCCTCAAAGTCTGGCTCAGATACCACCTCCTCCAGGAAGGCTTCCTACTTCTCAGTGTGCAGTGGGTGCCTGTCTCCTGGGGGAAGCTCCCCTGGCAGCCGTGTGGGCTGCTCTTCCGGGTCTGTCTCTACAGAGGACCTGCCTGGAAGTCTCTCTGCTTGCCCCTCCAGGTGGGGAGCGCTGTGGGGGAAGGGCTGGTTCAGGCAGGGCCCACAGAGCGGTGCTCAGTGACCCTCACCCCCTCTCCTTTCTTGCTTTGCCTTTCTCTCAGCCAGCTTCCGTGGGTGATGCTGAGAGGGCGCTGAGCATGCACCATGGCCCACTGGTCACTGCTCCCCGCCTTGGGGTCACTGGAGAAGTTTGCTCCATTCTGCCTGTCTGACCAGTGAGGCACAGACCCACGAGTCTGTCTGCTGGAGGACTGAGCAAGGATGGAAGTAGGACTTGTACTGCTGAGCACGGGGGTCCTTCCTTCCTGTCATTTGCAAGGATGGCATGTGATAAAGATGATGCTGGGCATGAAGGGCTGAGAAGCTGCTGGGGGAGCTCCAGGAAGTATGAGGTTTTGAGGTCGGGTGGCTTGGGTTTGGGCATTGAGCCAGTCATGCCAAAGCTACGTAGATGAGGTCGGCATCTCGTTGATGCTAATTTCCTTCTGATGGGATGGTCACCCTCTCTCGATCCTGCGAACCAGAAACCGTAGAACAGACACCTGCTCTATGGGGACAGCCATAAGCGATTGTCTTGGCAGACGCCTGCTGGATGACATAGTGGGAGCCGCCCCCCAGCCCTGGGCTCCTCCCCCGTGGCACCATGAAGATGTGGTGTGCCTCGTTGAACTGTCATGGAAAGAAGTGAGAGATGCAGGAGGAGCCCTAGTGGGAGGCACAGAAAGTGACCTATAATGTTCCTATCATTGCCCTCTCTTCCCTGGATGAATGTGGGATCGGGGGCTTTTATGAACACGTAGAGACCATTTCATTCTGCTCTTGCCTCCAGCTGCCCCTGCCCTCAGGGTGGACGCCTGCTCCTGGAGTGTGCCTGGCTGCAGACCCTGCCGAGCCAGCGCTCCCCTCACAGTGCCTGCAGGAAGAAGGTGGACCGTCCTGTCTTGTCCCCCAAAATGATGGACTCCCACCACCCTCTGAGCTCCTGAGTCCTGCGAGGATCCTGGCTTTCCACAAAGAGCTTCGGCAAAGCATTTGCAGCAATTCCCAGGTCCATAAATCACCTCTGGAGTTATAAATTTAATAGAACTACTCACGCTCTGGGGCCTTTTCATAGACTCCATAAATATTTGAAGCCGAACCTTCAGACACTGCTTTAAGAAATTGGTAGCAATCAAAACCCTCATTCAGTGGCAAGTGGTTTTGCCTTTGGCTCGGGGGGTCTGTTGGTTGTCAGAGCTTGGAGAAATACTGGACTGTGCTCGCACATTCTGAGGGCTCTGGCTTGGGCTAATGTCAAGGCAACAAAAGAGAATATTTACTGTACCCAAACCTATTGAATGATGGGTCCGATGGTTCTCCACTGGGCATGATTTTCCCCAAAGAGGGAAAAATTTGGCAACGTCCAGAGACATTTTTTGTTGTCCTAATGGAGAGGTGCTCCTGGTTTCTAGTGGACAGAGGCCAGGGATGGTGTCACAAGTCCCACGATACACAAGACAGTATCCTACAACAGAGATTGTCCCACCCAGTGTCAATAGTGCCGGGGTTGGGAAGCCCCGGACTGGTCCCATAGCTCCTAACATTGCCAGCCATAGAGAACAGCCCTCATGCCCTACCCCCATTGTTTTAAAAGATTTTTGTCTACTAACAGAAACTCTTGACTTAAGTAATTATATATTTGACATTTTAGAACATAAAAACCAACCAGAACTTTCTAATAAGCCCAATCATTCAACAGACACTTGTCGATGTCTAAAAGGTCAGGGTTATCTTCCCAGTGCTGTTCCCTTCCGGAAGCTGTGGTCACTGAGGGATGAGGAAGGAGACCTAAGACGCCCGGGGTAGCAGTCAAAGCATGAGGATTGTATTTTAATGTAGTTTAACTTTTACATTGAAAAGTACAGAGTTCCCACATACCCTTCAGCTGGCTTCCTGTAATGTCAACATCTTTTATACGTAACCACACCACAGGGACAGAAACAAATGATTTATTTGGAGGGAAACTGGGGAAGCCATTGATACGTATGAAAACCAGGGCGATCAAGCCATTGTCAGCATGCTGAGCTGCTACCCTCTTGATTAGCCCAATGGGTTGGAAATAGGTGATCACAGCCATACCCCTGCCCTTGGACTGATTTGCCAGCAGACCTACCCAACCATTTGTTCAGTGAGCATTCAGTGGGAACGGCCCTGCAAGGGTCCTTGGGGACACTGGGAAGCAGAAACAAAGAAGATTCAGTCCATCTCTGTCCTCCAGGACCTCCGGGCAGCCCTGCGGCCCCAACACCAGCGCTCGAGGAACCCCAATGTGGGAAAACACTGTTGTCATCCTGCTGGGTCAACCACCACCACCACCCCGGGGATCTCCAGTGGTCACTAACGGTGTGAGACCTCCTCCGATGGTGCCTTTCCCACCTTTATCTGGGGACAATGCCATCAGCTTTGAGCATCAGGAATGTGATGAGGAGAGGATCCAACCGGTGAAGCTGGGGCCCAGCCGGCTCCACCGCCCTGCTAAGCTGCCCTCTCCAGGGGTGAACCGTCTCCAGGGTCAGGTGTGTTGTGTCCTGTCACTGGAATGCTCCCTGCCCACCCCCTCACTTCGACTCATATTCAGGGCCTCAGCAGAGAGGCGGCTGGGGGTGACTTCCAGGACTGGAAGCCAGGGTGATCTTTGCAGCCTAACATGGTGATTCCATCATAAATCATTTTCCGAAGCCAGAAACCACTTACTCACCCAGTGAAGAGTTCCTGCCTGGGGCTGGCACTTCGGGTCCCCTCAAGCTGGGTCAGGGCTTCGTGCTGTGATCCCCTGGGGGCACTTTTGCAATGGCAGATGGATGATTCAGGCATTTTCTTGGCCTCAGCCACAGACCCCAGCCCTGGGACAGGGACACCTCCGCAGTCTGGTCTGATGCCCCTGGGCATGGAGACTTGACCTGCTCGGGAGGCTGAGCAGGATCGGGCAGGAACTGGGTGTGCCTGGAGCTGGTGTCAGCCACTCTCAACCCCCCACACCAGAATGCCACCGTGAGGGACCTGATGCCTCTGGAGAGCAGCCAGAAGGGCCGGCACCGGCTGCTGCCGAAGAAAACAATTTGTCAGACGGGCTGTCAGTGAACGACAACAGTGGCCTTCTATGGGATTGTCTGGCCAGGCTCTGCAGCGCGGAAGCCCCGACCCAGGCGAGGTAATGCACATCCCCTCCTCCCCGCCCCCACTACTGTGAAAGGGCCCCACCTGGGCTTTTAAGTAAATCAGATGAGAAGGTTGGCCCGGCCTGTAGCCAAGCAGCAGAAAATGTTAAGTGCAGTGTGTCTGCCTGCTGCCTGATTCATTGCCCTTCTCTCTTGGGAGGCATTTTACTCGAGTCGCAGAGGTTCTGCTCAACAGATAACTTCCCTGGGCAGCTGCTGAGGCAGGTGAAGGGCTGGGAGCTGGGTCACAGGGGTCGCATTCCAGGTTCCCATCCTCCAGGCCCCCAGTGGACAGACATGCAGATTGCCCGAGACTGCATGGCACAGGCCGGGTGAAGGGTGCAGTAGGGAGAACACAGTGTCGTGGGGCACAGAGCTGTGGCTGACCAGCAAAGGCTCAGTGAGGAGTCCCTAGAGGAGGTAGCAATTGCAATGGGTCCTGGGGGATGAACAGGGGTCCGCCAAGGAGGAGGGATTGCAGACCCGGGCAGCCACATGTGCCAAGGCCTGGGGTGGGCTCAGGGGTAGGAAATGGAATGGACATACTTGCCTTTCTCTAATCCTGGGATGGAAGGTGCCAGAAAGAAGGTGCTGCCTTTTTGCAATCCTACCATGACTGTCTCGTTTACTTAGGCATGTTAGTATGAGTAAGACATTGTTGTCCTTAAAAATTTGGAAGGGGCGGAAGTGTGCACAGTGCAGATTTCTTCCTTGTCCCCAGTTCCCATCTACGGAGGCAAACATCTCCCAGTGTTTTAGGAACCCTTCCAGAGATGCTGACAGACTGTCAGCAGGAGCCCTCAGGCAGAGACGTAGGTGCCATTTCGTATGTCTTGGTGATCATTCTGAATCACAACATACATCTCTCATTCATTGTTTTAAATGGTTGTGTTGTTTCCCATCGCGCGGTTCCTACCAGTCCTCTTGGTGGACATTTGCCTTGTTTCTGATCATTTGCTATTAAAACTGGTATGGTCGTGAAAATGCGCATACATGCACCTCTTTGCACGTGTGTGAGTCTCTCTGAAGGTAAATTCCCGGAGGAGGAATTGATGCCTCGAAGCAGAGAAGCTGTGGTCGTTTTGAGAGCCCTGGTCAGCCCCGCTCCCCACTTGACCCAGAGGTCCCACTTGCACTGGTGGGAGGGGTGGGTGGTGGGGAGGGTCCTGGTTGCCCACAGCCCTTCGCTCACTCTGTGTTCTTTCTACCTCTGAGCCCCTTTGGTGTGCCCGTTGTGGTTGGAGATGGTGAACTAGACAGAGGGGGACACTGCCCTCACTGGGGAACTCCGAAGTGGGGAGATGGGGGTCCATAAGCAGGTGTTTGCTTCCAACCCCAGTGAGGGATGGTCCAGATTTCCATCTCACAGCCTGGGCGGGATGTGATGGGTGGTGTGAGTGCCCTTGGTGAGGGGGAGGGATGGGGCTGCCAGGGACAGATGGCGACAGGGCTCTGGGGAGTCGGAGGCTGAGGAGGAGCAGAGAAGAAGGTGGCATTTGGGCTGAGCCTCGAAGGGGGATATAGTCCCAAGGGCAGAGGTGGAGGCTCAGGTGGGCCCAGCAAGAAGGGATCTAAGGCTTCAGAGCTATGCTCTGTGCTGGGCACCGCACTTGGTGGCTCACACCCCCAGCTCCCAGGGCAAAAGACCCCGGCTGGGGCCCAAGATTCCAGAGACGGCTTCTGCTGAAGACACTGCATTCACCGCCCAGCTCCACCGCTCCCAGCCCCTGAAGGCTTGGTTTCCTCCTGTAAAAAGGAAGTAATATCACCTAACATCAGATCACCTGGCTGGAGTCTCGCCAGGGGTCTGGGGTCTGTGATGAGCGCCCAGCCCATGTTGCTCCCAGCCCCTACGTGTCCGTCTTTCCCTCCTCCTAATGCTGGTAGACAGGAAGCCCAGGAGCCCGGTGCATGCCCTGCCCCAGCTCACCTCTCTGAGCCAAAGTTTTCTGACCTGTTCAATGGGGATGCCTGCCTCCCAGGGAGGGTCTGAGAGGCAAGTGGTTCATTTACCAGGACCGCTGGAAACAGGCCCTGGAACACTGTGGGGGCTGCGGAAATGCGGCCACTGTTTTATTTCTGTGTGCATGATCTTTGAAAACAGAGTCCCTTTGGGCGGGGTGATGGGGAGGCAGCAGGAGAAAGGGCCGCCTGCAGACGTGGCTCAGCTGGTGCCCGGGAGGGGAAGCTGATGGAGGAGGGCAGGTAGCAAGAGAGCCTGGAATAGAGTCACACTGCTCGTTCCTCCCTGAACCCAAGCCTGGGGGAGGCAGCCCAACCTCAGGAGCTGGCCTGTAGCCCCTCAGGGATCCAAGCCAGGACCCCTCTAGCTTGCCCCCCCTGCTGCAGCCCCAGGGTCTCCGAGACACCCAGGGGTCCTGCCTCCCAGCCTTTACCCTCTGGTCCACTGTGTCTGCCAGCTGTCCTTGGGAACAGCTACATGGCAGATTGGGGACGGCTCCGGCAGTCTGCTCTTTGCTCTCTGTATGACCTTGGGCAAGTTTAGCCCCTCTGGGCCTCAGCGTTCTTATCTGTAAAATGGGAACACATAAAGGAGACAATTTAGTGAGGCATAAAGCGCAGAGCCCCTCGATGGGTAAACTGATTATTTCTGCTGTTAAATTCTTCACCTGCGAAAGTCAGGGGAGAGCATCAACCTTCCTGTTGCCAGTAGTCAAACAGAACATAGAGCAGCCTCTGCGACTCCAGGCCGACGCTGTGTCTCTGAACTTCATCACTGTCCAGCCTGAGAGGGAGGAGGGGTTTTACGCCCACTTTGTGGCTGAGAA